GGAGGACAAGGAGGGGCAGGTTTGGGAGTGGGGACAAGGAAAACTGGGTTTGGGAGCGATGCCAGGGAAAGGCTCGTGGCCTCCACGGGGAGGTATCGGGTGCACAAGTCCAGAGTTCAGGGGAGAGTCAGGGCTTGGAGTCACCTCTTTGGGGATCGCTGGCATAGACACAGGACAAGATGAGATCATATAGGAAGTGGGTGTAGTTAGAGACCAAGAACGGGCCCAGGACTTGGGGGTGGGGGGCGCTCTCCGACTTGAGGAGGAAGAGGGGAGAGAAGAAGAGGCAGCAAAGGAGACAGGAAACCAGAAGGAAGGGAAGTCTCTCGTCCCCAATCACCCTGCAACCTGTCAATCCCATGGCAGCCCCTCCCTGGCAGCCCCCCACCCCCCACCCCACGCTGCTCGGGACTCCAGCTCTGGCCCGGATCATTACAACAGGCTGGGGTCCACTCCCCACACTGCCTTCTGGGCGTCTCTGTGAAATGCAGATCTGAAGCTATAATTCCCCCTGTCCCCTGCAGGGTTAGAAAGCCTGTCCCGGCCTGGTGACTGTGGCCCTTGGGGACACTCCCACCCATCAGACACAGAGGCAGGTGGAAATGCACGTGTTTGCACATACCGAGGAGCGGGGGGTGGGGGAGGGCTGCACCTTGCACCAGCAGTCATCACCCCCTCCTTCCCTGCTTCCCACAGGCAGGGTTCACTTCCCACGCCCAAGCCTGGAAGTGCCAGACCTCCCTTTCCCAGCCTCTGGGCTCCTGGGAAAATGTCCTCCAGCCAAAGAAAGAGAGAGACAAGGAGACAAGGCCCAGCCTGCCTCGGGGTTTCTATGTGAGGACACACGAATGTCTGAGGTGCTGCCACCATCCTGTGGCCAGAAGGAACCCTCAGAGCAAACACACAGTGACGGACAGGAGACTGGAGCCTGGGTCCTTGGTGAAATCAGTGAGCCACGGGGCGCCTGACTCTCGGTTTTGGCTCAGGTCACGATCTCAGGGTCATGAGATCGAGCCCCACGTCGGGCTCCTCGCTCAGCGGGGAGTCTGCTTGAGATTCTCTCTCCCTCTGCCCCTCCGCCTGCTTATGCTCTCCCTTTCTCTCAAATAAATAAATAAATCTTTGAAAAATCAGTGGGCCACGGGGCCAGCCTTGGTACACGGACCAGTGGACTTCTGCTAAGACTAAACAGCGAACCCCTGCTATTTAAACCCCTTTGGGGTGGGTTCCCGGCACTTGCATCCAGAAGCATCCCAACTGACCCCCACATCCTCACGCATGCGCACGTCCCACCCTCACACGCCTGGCCCCCAAAAGTTGTGCCTTCCCCCTCAGAACTCTTGCCCATTGGCATCACTATGTCTTGCCTGTGGGCCCTCTTGGCCTAACATGGCCTCACCTTTGTCCACTTGACCCTTTCCCGCCACTCACTCTGGCCAGAGGGTGACTCACCTGACCTCAGCCACCTGCAGCCCTTGGCCTCTGGCTTGTACATTGGAGAGGCCACACAATAGTTTTGAAACATAAACTGCTCTTTTTCACCCCCAAAACCATTTTGGGGGGGCGGACTGGATGGTGTCCACTGCTCCAGGGAAAGGTCATTGTCAGAAAAAAAACAAAAACAAAAACAGGAAAGGCTTTGGGATTCCAAAGTTTAGGACTTAATGGGGCTGATAACGGGACACAGAAACCTTTGAGGTGTCAGAGAAACACCTCCTGCCCTGAGACTAGGACGGTTTCCTGGGGCTCTGGAGGGGAAGGAATGGAGTGGGCTCTGGGCAGAGAAGTCAGTGGGGCCTGGGGTCCATGGGAATAGCAGAGCGGCATCCTGAGACCACCAGCTCCCACCAGGAACCCCCGTGGCCAGTCTTGTTCTCTACCAGGGCCTAGAAAGCATTGCTGTAGGAGCCCTGTTGGTGCCCACAAACCAGGAAGCCCCCCATCAGTGAGTGGGGCACCACTGAGCAGAGGCACTGAGAGACTATGGGGACAGATAGGCAGTCCCTCTGGGGCCTCCCCAGGTTCCCTCTGATGATCCAACAAGACTGCCTTTGGGGCTATCCACTTTACTTAAAGGGTCATTCCTCATGACGACATCTTTCAACACCACAGCGCCCACCTACCCCCACCCCAGACAAAGGAGTGGTCCTGGACACTTGGGGGTGGGGGGTGGCTTAGAAGGAAAAGCCTGCACACACTGGGGCGCCTGGGTGGCTCAGTCGTTAAGCGTCTGCCTTCGGCTCAGGTCATGATCCCAGGGTCCTGGGATCGAGTCCCGCATCGGGTTCCCTGCTCAGCGGGAAGCCTGCTTCTCCCTCTCCCACTCCCCCTGCTTGTGTTCCTGTTCTCGCTGTCTCTCTCTGTCATATAAATAAATAAAATCTTTAAAAAAAGCCTGCACACAGATACTGAGGAGATAGTGAGCAGAGCCTGAACAGGAGAAGACACCCATCTCCCTTGCCCCACTAGGCCAGGGTAGAGTGGGGGCTGTTTCTGACTCATCTCTGTGACTCCAATGCCCTGCCCAGGGCCTGATAAACAGAAAGTACACAATAAATATTTATTGGCCTAAATGGGACATGAGGCTGTAGAGATGGGCCCCCACTGTCAGCTGACTGAGCCAGTCTTCATCACCAACCTCCCCCCCACCCCCCGCCCCTGATTCACCTGCTAGTGACCGCTCATCTGGCCAATAGGATGAAGTAGAATTCACGGGCCTGGGCTTCCAATAAAGCTTTTGTGATGATGAATAGTCTGAGCTGGCCTAGGTTTTTACCCTTTCCCCTGCATCCTGTCCTGTCTGGAGGTGTAGCAGCCATGAAGAGGTGACAGTCATGAGCACAAAGGCCTCCATGCAAAAGGTGGCAGAGAAGGAAGATGACAAGAGCGTGGGTCCCTGATGGCACAGCTGAGCCTCTGACCAGACTGCCCAGTCTCAGCTTCCTTGATGAGCCCTGCCAATCTCTCTGTCTTTAAGCTGTAGCTGTTATGTGTGTTCAGTTATTTGCAGCTGAACACAACAGATTCACAACATGTTCACTGTACGCCTTTGGACCAAAACAGATCTGGGTTTGGACCTTGGCAGGTGACAGCTGAAATCTGGGTTTGCTCCACTCCCCCAAAACTGCTCTTGCCAACGTCATTGTATTAATTAAGGGAAATGATGAGTTATTGTAACAGGCAGTCCTGAAATCTCAGTGGCTCAACACGATGAAGTTGATTTCTTGCTCCTGTTACAGTCCAATGCAGGTTGGTGGGGAGGGCACGGCCACACACAATTGTTTAGGGTCCCAGACGCTGTCATCTTAGCAGCCCCATTCTCCTCTGGGTGTTCGGAGCCCCTCCATAGAGGATTGGAAAGGGGGTGTTTATGGTCCAGGTCTGGAAATAAAGCACTTCACCACCATCCACCTTCTATTGGCCAGAGTTCAGCCACATGGCCACACACACAGATGAGGGAGGCTGGGGCACGACGTCTAACTCAGAAAGAGGAAGTAAATTTGGCCTCTGGTGGACACTATCAGGGTCTACCTTGGCCCCCAAAGACCTCCACATCCCTACAGACGGTGCTCACTTCTGAAGCCTCATTTTAAACCACCTCAGTGTTGGCCATCCCTCATCTTTTTGAAACACTCTGTTCTTGGCATCCTTCCTGACTTCTCTGGGTTCTCTCTAGCTCTCCTAGACACTCCTCTTCCTCCCTGAAGCGTTGGGAGTCCTCAAGCTGGGTCCTGAGCCTGTCCTCCTCTCTTTCTCTTCTCTCCCCACAACATCTCACCTTTACCAGCTGCCTCAATCACCCCTGGTTATACTCATGACCCTGAATCTGTCTCCAGCCTGACCTCTCCTGAGCTCAAGACTTCCATCAAACAGTGTCCTGGATGTCTTCACATATACACTTCAAACTCAACACCCTCAAACGGTGAATATCCTCTTTGCCCCAAACCTGTTCCTCCTCCCCGGCTTCCCTTGTTGAGAATGGCACCATCATCAACCCAAAGGCTCAACTCCCAACTGCTTGCTTCCCCTCCCCATGCCACACACTCTCAATCACCAAAGCCCTGCTGCCCAGGCTTCTACCGCTGAAACATCTCTGAACTTCATCCACATCTCTCCACAGCCATGACTGCTACCCAGGCTCATGTTACCAATACCTCCTTCCTGGACAACTGCGACAGGCTCCCAAACTCCTCCTGCCCAAACTTTGATCCCCAAAGGTTCTCTAGGCTAGTGCTTCTGAAACTTTAGGGGCACAGAAATCACGTGGAGAGTCTGTTTAAAGTAGATTTCTAGGGCCTCCCCACCCCTCTTGCAATCTGATTCTGATTCACTTGGTCTGGGGAGGGGCTCAGGAAGTTGCATTTCTAACCAGCTCCCCCTTAAGGGCGTCCCCTGGAGGAACCCAAGCTAAAGATGCTGGCACAGAGGTTGCAAGTTTGGGGACCGTACTTTGAGTAGCAAGGATCCCCGCTCTGTCCAATACGGAGGCCTCTAGCCACAGATGGCTATTTGAATTATTAAAACAAAATAAAGCTTAAAATTCAGTCCCTCGGTAGCACTAGCCACATTTCAGATGTTCAACTGCCCCATGTAGCTAGTGGCTACTCTATCGAACAGCGTCCAGTATCGAACATTTCCATCGCCACAGAAAGTTCTACTGGATGGCGTTGCCCAGACCAAGGGGACCGTTCTAAAAATGAAGCATGATCTTAGGTCCCCCTCTTGCCCATAAGATTTCAGAGGCTCTCACTTCCTAAAAGTAAAAGCATACAAAGGACGTCGAGAGCCGGGAGGGCACAGAGATGCTCCTAAACTGGGAAACCCTGAAAACGCTTCGGAGGAGTCCAGATCTTAGCAGACTAGAGAATGGCCAAGAACTTTGAGCTCATTGGATGATGGTGGAGGGGCGGTGCCAGCGCTTCCCTTTGATTGGGTACTTTCTCATAGCGGAAAGCCAATCATCGAGGGCGGTGGGGGCGGGGCCAGGCTCGGCCTTACAAGCCCCGCCCCGAGTTCCGGTGCTCTAAGCACGGCAGGGGGGTCGGATCGGCGGTGAGTTCTGACCCCCTACCTCCTTAGATCCCTCTGGTGCTGGAATCCGGCTCACCGCACTGGGAGTGGGGAGGTGCGGGCAGGTCCTCCCTCCCGCTGCCGGGAGCACCCTCCCCCCAGCCCTGAAGCCCACGTGTCCAGTCTCGCCCTGTGTGTACTGTCACCGCCTATGAAATGGCCTGGCGGGTGGAGGGTTGGGAATGGGAGGGATCGCAGTGGGCCTCGAGATACCCAGGCTGTGTCCCCACAGGAGGATGGCTCAGGAGGAGGGCCGGAGCCTGTCTGAGGCGCGGGCCCGGGTGGGGGTCTTACACGGCATCACCGACCTGGGTAACAAGCTGCACTTCTATAAGCGCTGGGCTCCGGACTATGACCAGGTAAACTGGCCAGGCTCCTCACCTCCACCTCTCTTGCTCGCCCAGCCTCAACTTTCCTATCTGTAAAGTGGGAAGAGTTAGCCTCGCATCACCCCAGGGTGGCTTGTGAGAATGAGGTGAGCCCCTGCAGTCCTGCCCCCTTCAAGGACTAGCCCTTCTTTGGCTCACCTACAGCAGCCCTGCCCTCTGGCTAGCCCCATGGCTCCACATTGGCAGCCCCTAGAAATCAGGAACCAAGACCTCCCCACCCTGGGACTGCAGCCCAGGCAGAGGGGCTGCCTGGAGGAGGTGCCTCTTGAGGGGTCACTATGGACTAAGGAGAGAGTGCTGCATTGGCCGGCAGAGCAGTTCCCAGCAGTGGGCTGTGCACTGACTCTCTAATGCTCGCCCTGGGCAGAGGAAAGCATCTCATGCTGGAGTCCCTACAGGGCTGGAGCCCTGCACACACACACACACACACACACAGACACACACACACACACAGCTTGACCTGGCTGACTCCTAGACAACCCCACATGGAGGTCCCCCAGTGGGGCAGTGGGTGTCCATCGGCTCAGCACTCTGTCCCCAGGATGTGGCCGCCCTGCAGTACCGTGCCCCACGCCTCGCAGTGGACTGCCTCACCCAAGCCCTTCCGGGCCCACCTCATGCTGCCCTGATCCTGGATGTGGCCTGTGGCACTGGCCTGGTGGCTGCCGAGGTGAGGCGTCCCTGGATCCCCTGCCCTCTCTTCAGCTCCCCATTTGTTCAAATCTCCTTTCACCCAGAATTTTGGCCCCAGAACTCTGCCTCCCCCCTCGGACTCACTGGTCCCAAATACTTGGACTGCATTTACAGCGGGGCCCACTGCCCTCCCCAGGTGCAGGGACCCAGCTGGGAGATGGCAAGTGTGAACTGTGACTGAGTCCCCGCCCCCCTCAATCTCAGCTGCAGGCTCGGGGCTTCCTCCAGCTGCATGGAGTGGACGGGAGCCCAGAGATGCTGGAACAGGCCCGAGCCCGTGGCTTCTACCAGCGCCTCAGCCTCTGCATTCTGGGCCAGGAGCCTCTGCCCAGTTCTGAAGGTACTTTCCTCCCACCTAGGCACCTTTCTCTTGCCCAGCCTCCATCCCCCTCCACAAGCCCCCTCCCCCACTGAGCCCCCCCAAAGCCTCACTGAGACCCTCTCTGAGCCCCTGTGAGCCCCTCTCTAGCACTCCACCCCATGATCTGATGTCAGCCAGGATGGGGCCACACCTGCCATAGCAGGCCTGGTCCCTCCTGCTGGGTATCATGAGGCCACGACAAAGACAGACCCCCACACACATCTCCACGGTCTGCATAGGGACCTTCGATGCAGTGCTGATAGTGGGTGCCCTCAGTGACGGCCAGGTGCCCTGCAGTGCCATACCTGAGCTTCTGCGAGTCACCAAGCCAGGTGAGGAGCGGCCTATCCAACCCGTGCACACGCCTTCCCCCTCACCGCGCGCACAGACACCAGCCTCAGAACCTCTCGGGCCAGGCGAGGGGCAGGGGCCTGCCCGGGGTCACACAGCCTAGCCTCCCATCCCAGCCACCGGCGGCCACCGGCAACAGACCCAGGCAAACGGGCGGGGCAGATGGGTAGCCAGCTGGCCTCTTAGCCGTCGGACAGCTCCCCTCTCCCCTCTGGCTCTGGCTCCTCGCCTCCAAGCAGTGGCAGGGCCCCAGCCCCCGTGGGATTGTGGCGGGCACTTTTTGTAAAGTCCCCATGTGGGTTCATGTGCAGCTGCGGATTCTGTTCACTGTGCTCTGACCTGTGCCTTGTGCCCGGCTGGGCTGCGCTCCTGGCCGCAGCTACACGCCCTGCCCTCTGCGCTTCCATCACCAACCCGCCGCACCCCAGGCCGGGGCCCGGGGAAGAGGGCCGGGCCACAGGGGAGCAGTCGGAGGAGAGCTGTGTTTCCGTGGGCCGGGCCGGGGAGTGAGGGCAGCCCACCCAGAAGGCGGTCATAGGCGGAAACAAGAAGTCAGGCAGACAGCCGCAGGAAGTCATGGGCAGAAAGGGGAATGGCGGAGCGGGAGGGTGGTGGGGCCCTGACTCGGCTGCGGGACAGGGTCAGCAAGCCCCAAAGGTGCCCCTGTTACAGCAAGACTGCATCTCCTCCCTGCCTCCCTCGCCCCCACTGGGCCCAGCAGGACCCGTGGCTAAGCCTGGGCAGGTCTGGGCAGGCTTTGGCCTCAGGGAACCGTGCAGGCTGACAGAAGTGGGGTCTTGAGTGGGGTCAGAGAGAACAGGAAGCTCCCATGAGAACCAGCCCAGCCTGTGCTCGTCAGGCCCCTCAGTTGGCCGGAGCCCCATCTGTCTGCCCACGTGGCACAGACTTCCCTGCTTTGGAGCCTTTCCTCCCATGGAGCCCCATCCACCCACCGCGCAGGGCCCTACTTCTCCTCACCGCTTCCTCCAGGAAGCCCTCCAGACACCATCTCTCCTACGTGTATCTGAGCCCACACTGGGCATGCTATAGGTGCCTGGAGAAGACCCGAAGGGATAGGTCATTTATTCATTCAGCCAGTGCTTAATGACTACGTAGTCCTTCCTGTGACCCCGGGGAATCAGCCCCACTCTGTAAGCTGGGCAAACAGGCTCAGAGAGGTGAGGGGACTTGCCCGAGGTCCAAAGTGCTTCCTTCCTGTGCCTCCAGACACAGCCTCATCCTCCGGCAGAAGAGGGGCTGGGTGAGCAGTGAGGACGGAGCCCCCCCTCCCCCCGTCCAGGGGATTAAGCCAAGAATTCCCAGGGTAAAGGACACTTGGGCCTGGAAGGGTGCATAGGAGGCTGTCAGGCTGAGGGCGCAGAAGGGTATTCTTGGGGCAGGAACGGTGAGCCCCCAAGGTGTGGAGGTGGGGAAAGGCTGGCCCGGGGACAAAGCTGAGAGGATATATGCCCTTGAGGATAGGAGTACAAAGGGACAACCTTCCCAGGAAGGGGTGGGCCTCGAGCCTGGAACCAAGGCTCCTGCCCCTCCCCCACCCACCTTCCCCCACCTCCCCCTCCCCAGGGGGGCTGGTGTGTCTGACCACCAGGACCAACCCATCCAACCTGCGCTACCAGGAGGCCCTGGAGGCCACGCTGGACGGGCTGGAGAAGGCCGGGGCATGGCAACGCCTGGTGGCCTGGCCCGTGGACCGGTGGGAACTGGCCACCTCCGAGCTTGAGGTGGGGCCTGGAACTTCGGACAGTGATGGCTTCATCTCTGGCATTGTCTACCTGTACCGGAAGCAGGATGTGGCCCAGGTGGAGGGAGTGAGGCCCAGTCCTCAGCCCCCCGCTGACCTCTGACCCTCCGTGTGACCTCAGCCAGGCCCATCCTTGGGCCTCCTCTGCTTCATCTGTAAAATGGGGCCCCTGTGCCAACCTTGCCCCTCAGGGAGTTCTGCCTATTAAATGAGTCCCAGAAGGGGTCGCAGGCCTCTGGCTCTGATTCTCTCCCCCAGGAAGGTGACATCTGTCCCTGAGAAGGACGGAAGTGAGAAGAGACGGAACAGAGAGGGCTCCCACCCCAGGCCGTCCCTGAGCCAAGCATGGTAGGGCCACAGATGTGACATTGTGACTCCTGCCATGGTGGCAGGTCCTCTCACCCCAACTGGAGGACCAGGAAACCCGTGCTCGTGCCTCTGGCCTTGACCAAATACTTTCACGTGCCCAGGATTCTCATTTCTAAAGAGAGTCCGAAAGCTCGGCTCCAGGTGTGTCTTGGAGGCTCATTAGGAAGGAGCCTTGGAGCTGGGCCTTCAGGACGAGCAGGATTCAGAGGGCTGGAGAAAGGGAAAAGGACATTCCAGACCCACAGCAGGGACAGCCTGGACCAAGGCCAGGACATGGGACCTGGAGGGCGAGCGGACCAGCCTGGCTTCCCAGACAAAGCGGGGACAAAGAGGGGGAGAGGGCAGGTGGCCCACTCCCCAGAGCTGAGTGTTCTTACCTGGCCTCCCTCCTGGGGTCCCCAACCCTTCACCACGGTTCAGGGCACACAACGTGTTTCCTATGTTTGGCTTCACCTTTTAACAAACGAAGGGTTTTGAGCAAGGTGATTCCAAAGGTGAGGGCCAGCTCTGATTTGTCACAATTCCTCAAAACCATTTTTTTTTTTAAAGATTTTATTTATTTATTTGTGAGAGAGAGAATGAGAGACAGAGCATGAGAGGGAAGAGGGTCAGAGGGAGAAGCAGACCCCCTGCCGAGCAGGGAGCCCGAAGCGGGACTCGATCCCAGGACTCCAGGATCATGACCTGAGCCGAAGGCAGTCGCTTAGCCAACTGAGCCACCCAGGCGCCCCCCATTTTTTTTTTTTTAAGTGTTCTTGTCCCGGCCACATCACAGTGGTCCTGCTCCTCGCCGACCCCCTGCCCAGGCTTCTAGCCCTGCCCTGCCCACCTTCATGGCTGAAATCAGAAACCACACGGTCTTCCTGTGCACAGGTCCCATTTATTGTAGAAAATAATAGTAATTACCATGACAAACAGATCTCAAGTTACAAAACAGAAACCACAGAGGAGGCAGGGAAAAGGCCCAGGACTTCCTGGGAGTGAAGGCCAGAGAGAGACCGCCCCCGGGCTGTCCCCAGGATGTCCAGTGACCTTGGCAGGGGTGGCGGATGTCGCAAGTCCCAAGAGTCCCGGGGTCCTGCTGCCGAGGCTGCTGAGATGGAGCCCTGAGGCTGCAGGGTGGGGGCAGGAAGGGGTGCGGGCTGCCTGGGCAGCCTCCATGGCCTCCTCCCCACCACTACCCAAACCAGTTTGTAGCATCTTCACCCCTCCCCTACAAACCCGTCTGTCAACTCCGTGTCAACTCTGGCTCCTCGGTCAGGTGGGTGAGCGAGGCCCCAGCCGATCTCCTGGCCGACACAGGCACGCGCAGGGCACGCACTCGGAGGCAGAGCCCAGGCAAAGTCAGGGCTGAGCTGTCCTGGCCAGCAGGAGCATGCTCCCCCCGCCCCCACCACACCTGTTACTTCTGCCCCCTCTCCTGTATCCCCCGGCCCTTCAGCGGAGGGTGGCACAGGAGTCTCTTTCTGTCCATCCTTGCTGGAGTAGAGGGGGCCTCAGGTCGGTGTCCAAGGGGGCTAGAAGGGGCTGAGGGCTGCCGGACCAATGGCCTGGCTCAGTCCCCGCTTGCCCAGCCCTGGGGCCAGCCTGGGCTCACGGGCTGCGCCTTCAGTCCAGGGAGGAACAAAGCCGGCGGGACAGAGCTGAGTCGCCTTACACGTAGTTGCTGGCTGGGGCGGAGCGGGCGGCGGAGTACTTGGCCGAGTAGGGCTTGTCGGTGCGGGGCGGGCAATTGCAGCAGAGGAGGGCCCCCCCCAGCAGCAGCAGGCCCGAGGCGGCCCAGCCGATGTAGAGAGAGGCACCCATCTCCCGCTTCTGGCCCGAGGCCACCAGCGGGTTGTAGAAATCCCGGATGATGGTGTTGGCCGTCCAGGACGCGGGCACCATGACCAGCAGGCCGGCCAGCAGGAACACCACGCCCGCCACAATCATGGTCTTGGCCTTGGCGCTCTCATCCTCCACGCAGTTGGTGCACTTGCCCCCCACCACGGAGAGCAGCACGCCCAGCACGGCCACGATGATGCAGATGACCATGAGGGCGCGGGCCGCCTGCAGGTCCTGCGGCAATGCCAGCAGCGAGTCGTACACCTTGCACTGCATCTGGCCGGTGCTCTGCACCACGCAGTTCATCCACAGGCCCTCCCAGATGGTCTGCGACGTGACGATGTTGCTGCCGATGAAGGCCGTCACGCGCCACATGGGCAGCGCGCAGCTCAGGATGGCGCCCAGCCAGCCCAGCACGGCCAGCGCGATGCCCATCACCTGCAGCCCCATGGAGGCCATGGCTCAGCGTCTGCGGGGCTCTAGGACCTGGAAGGCTGTGGGGGTCTGGCCCTGGGGGCTGTAGGAATCCAAGCGCGGAGGACAGACCCTCGGCGTCCACAGGGAAGACTTTCCCTTGGAGTCCACACACGTCAGATCAGCTCCCCAGCTCTCCGGAGTCAGGAGCCCAAGCCTGGCCAGTGCACCTAAACAGTTCCTTTCAGCCACGGGCTCTGCCCCCGATACCGGGAGCGGTTATATGGCTCTGCGATGGGGGCGGGAGCAGAGGGAGGGGTTTCAGTCCCTGGGTCCTGCCCCCTGACCAGTTTCTCTGGATTCCTGAACCCGGGCCAACAAAGGCACTTCAAGGCCTCAGCCCTGGGCCCCTGAGTCAGGATCCTGGAGAGCCAGTCTCGGGGGAAACTGCCCTCTCCCCCTGCCCCCGGGCCCGTTGCTGAGGTCAGCCTGGAGACAGACACTGAGTCACAGCTCCCAAGCACCTGGACGCATGGGGCGGGCAGCCCCAGCCACGGTCAGGTCCTGAACACCAGGATCCCTACACCTCAGGGCTCCCTCACTCCAGGCTTGGGTGGGCAGACAGGGTGGGGACCGTCAGGGAGAGGGTCTGAGGATGAAGTCCTGGGAATGTCAAAGAGCGGCTCCACCCTGATTACTGTATAGTCCCGTCCTTATCACCGTCCCCTCTGGCCCCATCACTACTATTCCGAGTCTCACCATCCGGGCACTTGCCTCCCCAGCGATTTTGGTGTGGGCTTGATGAGGGCGGTTTGGGGAACGAGGGGCTGGGGGACCAGGACTCCTGGGTCTGTCCCCTGCTATCTCCTCCCCCCTTCCCACCACCAGGCTTCCCAGCCCTGCCAGAGGAGGAGGTCTTTTGGCTGAAGAGAGAAGGAAGCCTGTCCCCCTGCCCCACTCCCCAACCAGGAGAGTTTCAGCCAGTTCCTTCTGGGGTTGAGGCCACTTGGCCTGAACTGAGTGGGGGAGGTCACTGAGAGCAAGCCATGGGCCAGGCCCTGGGAGCATAAGCCCAGCAGAAGACTGTTTACTCAGGGAAGACACACAGCGGTGGTCAGATAAAGCCAGGATGGGGGCAAAGTCCCATGAGACCTGGAAAGGGGAGAAAGAGCTCAGACTGGATGGAGGTGGGGCACTGGGGAGGGGGCTTAGGAGGGAAGAGGAGCCGCAGGGCACAACTCGGGGGGCGGGGGATGGGCTGTAGTCTCGGGTTATGTGCAGAGGGCACTAAGGGCAGGAATCACCACGAATGGGGCCCCTGGGAGTTGTGCAAGGCAGCAGGTCTGGGTGAAGGAGGACATTTGGGGAGAAGCAACATGGAGGACAAAGGGTACTGGAGCTGGGGAAATGCAGCTAGTTATAGGAACCTGGAGGAATCCAGTCTGACCAGACCCTGGGGTTGTGGGGGAGGGGCCAGAGAGAAAGGGCCAGAAACCTCTGCCCCAAAGATCACCCAGCCCCGGGATTGGCAAGGGCACTGGATGCCAGGCAGAGGGGTCCACACACCTTAGAAAGATGTCTCTGGAAACTGAATGGAGGTGAAAGAAAGCAGGGCAGGGTTTGGGGGGGTCTTTATGGGGGAGAGGGGTTGGGCCTCACTCATCCTGGCTAGATCAAGGGAACGCCTCACCCTCCACATGGTCCCCACCAACATGGCTCCCTGAGCTCACAGCATTGTCCAGCAACCAAGCCCGGCCCCCTGGGGTGGCCGCATGTCCTTGAGCTTGCTCCGGGAGAATCAGCAAGTGTGTGTGCTTTAGAGTGATTTAGGTTGGAGTCATCTGTGAGCCCTGAGCACACGGGAGGCCTCTGAGATCCCATGCGGATGGCCTGACAAATCACAGGGCCGGCTGGGACAATCCTGCATGGTGGGGAAGTCGAGGTCTTGCGTTGTGGGTGGCCCCTCTCTGAGGCTGGGGGCTCCCGGAGGACAGAAGCAGGGGTGCTCAATGAATGCTCAAGGCACTAAGGCAGAAGGCACTCTCCTGGTTCCCAAAGACCCTCCCCCACCTTCCCCTACACTTCCACCCCCCCTCCCACAGGCACACACACCAACACAAACAGGGATGGTTTCTGCCTGGACCACACCTCCCGGGTTTTCCTTACAAGGCTCGGAGGAACAGCACACGCGGACGCCTGCGGGCTCAACAACAGAGATAAGTACAATTCGAGATTGACAATAAGTGCTTTCCTGTGATGACCTCATCACAGTCTGCCCGAAAGTAAGTAGGGCAGGGACTCTTACAGCCTTGGTACAGATGGGTAAACCGAGGCCCAGAGAAGGCCGAGGGCTTGCCCAGGACGGGATGGGCACTCCATCATCAGAGCCTCCTTACTCAGGTGCCCCTCATCCATGGTCCCAGCGCTTCAGTAAGCTTTCTGAGTCCAGAAGTGGGTTGGCCAGGTGGCCAGACCCCCTCCCCGCCCCGCCCCTGCCAACTTCCTGCCCTTGTTTTCTTGTGACACAGCCAACTGGCACTGGAGGAATAGGAGTGGGGGAGGGGGCACACAGGCCCTAGAACTTTCCACCTGTGGCCCAAAGAAGTGACTAAGAAGCTGTCCTTCCCTGCCCAGTTCAGCCAAGCATATCACGGGTGGGGGAGGGGCTGAGCATAGGGGAAGGGCAGGTGCAGGGGGGGCCCAGGCGAAGGGCAGGCCCAGAGCAGGGGAGGTCTACGGGGAGCCTGGATGGGGCTATGGGCCCAGGTGTGCAGAAGGAACAGGAGGTCCCCCGACACCGTGAGCCGCTCTGCACATGAGTGGAGCTGGAGAAATATTTGTGGAGGCTTGACTTGGGCCAAGAGGCCCTGGCGGGGCCCCGCCCACCTGCTGCAGGAAAAACACCAGCAGAGACTGGACACTTTTCCTGCATGTGCTCTGGCTTCCGGAGCCTGCCGCTCCTAACAGCTTGAACAACATTTTACTGTGACATCTAATGGGTCTGCCATCCATCATCTTTGCCTCTGAGGTGAGCAGGGCTGGGTTGGCACTTACTTCCTCTTCTTTCTCCCAGTATTCACTGCCTAGTTTTATGCCGATAGAATTATTATCATACATGCTGGTTTTTTCAAGGACAGCCCTCTCCCCACATCTGTTCACCCATCCCTGCCCGCCTCAAAAGCCTCTTGCCAGCCATGTGACCTCGGAGAGGCCGGTTTCCCTCTCGGCCTCAACTTCCTTCTTTGTCAAATGAGGACATCGGTGCTCCTCCGCTCTCAAAGACAGCTGTCAAATGAGATGAGGCTGTGAAAATGCCTTGTCAGCTGGAAAGCGCACTACCAATGAGGACGAGGGAGCCACCCCTCGGCTCTGGTCCCCCTCCCACCGGGTGGGAGCTGGGACTCCTTAAGACTCCTCGTCCCCAGAGCCGTAGGAGCTCAGCCAAGCCTGGGATCACAACTCCCCACCCCACCCCCCCCACACACAAACCTTGTGACTTGTGTCCATTCCCCCGGCATCCCTAGGAAAAGGGCAGCTACAGTCTCCCACCCAAACCTAGCCATTCTGCTGCCTTCTGAGCCCAGAGCCTGTGTCCTTCTAGGGA